ATCTCTAGAATTATCTTGATAAGTCACTTTAGGATGAGGTTTAGAGATAACTTTAGAATGTGTTTAAAGATTAATCTAGAAGAAACTAGGACTTAAGCTACCACTACTATAAATATGGGTGCTTGGTAGCATTTGTAACAATAACCAAGAGAAGACTCAAGAACACACCACCAAAGAGTGTTCACTTGTAAACCACTCTTGTACTAATTCCTTTTTAATAATAAAATAGTTTGCCTTAAAATTCTAATTGTCTAATTCTCATCTTATTCTCACAAAATAAGATTGGATAATTTTCTCAACAAGTGGTATCAGAGCAATGTCGATTTATAACATCGATATCCTGTGTGAATCAAGATGGAGGCTACCGTTACCATTGAAGGTGACATGTTCAAACTCACGACGGACAACTACTCGTATTGGAAACCGATGATGGAAGATCACCTTTGTTGCAAGGATTTGCATGAGCCCATCATCAATAATACCAAGCCGGAAGGAAAGGATGATAAGGCATGGGAGCTTCTGAATCGAAAAGCGGTCGCAGTAATTCGTAAGTACATCGATCGATCTCCTTTCGAACATGTCGCTACCTATACAAATGCTTTTGAATTATGGACAAAACTTGAGTCTATGATTCAAAAGAAAACGCCTCGAAACAAGGCTCTTCTTGCTCGACGGTTGGTAAAGTTGGAGTATAAGGATGGCCAAAGGATGATGGAGCACTTGAATAATTTCAAGGGGCTCATAAATCAGCTAAACAAGGTTGACATGAAGATTGAAGACGAGCTGCAAGCCCTTATACTCCTTAACTCGTTGCCAGAGAGTTGGGACACACTAGTTGTCACTCTCAGCAACTCATCACCAGATGGAAAGCTTACCATGGATACCGTCAGTGATAGTCTTCTAAACGAAGAAATCAGAAGGAAGGAACGAGGTTTGAGCACTCAGTCAGAGGCGAACGTCATCGATAGACGGGGTAGAGACGAAACACGTGGACATAACAAAGGTCGAGGTTGAGATCAATCTCGAAGACGCTCCAAGTCACGCCCAAGAGTTACATGCTACTACTGTGGCAAATCGGATCATAGAAAGACAGAGTGTCAGTTTTTCAAGAAAGATCAACAAATAGGTAATAGCAAACCAGATCGGTTTTACCCCACAAAGAGGCATGACGATAAGACCACCACTATTGTGGCAGATGAGGACAAAGATATATATATATCGTTGGAGAATATGATCCTCTAAATATTGCATGTGATGAGACTACATGGACCATCGACTCTGGTGTTTCTTTTCACGTCACGCCTCATGGAGACTTCTTTGCAACCTACCAAAGTGGTGACTTTGGTAATGTCCAAATGGGAAATCAAGGAAGAAGCAAGATTGTTGGAAAGGGAGACGTCATTCTTACATCAAACACTGGATCTAAGATCATTCTCAAAGATGTAAGGCATGTCCCTGACATGCACCTAAATCTCATATCAACTGGAAAGCTTGATGATGCTGGTTTGGGAAATCACTTTGGTGAAGGCAAGTGGAAGCTAACCAAAAGAAACTTGGTCATGGCTCGAGGAAAGAAAGGAGGGTCATTGTATGTGACACAAGCTAAGATTTGCAAGGAGGAGGTAAACGTCGTAAATGCAGACATGGAGTTATGGCACCGAAGGCTCGACCATATGAACGAGAAAGGTCTAAATATTCTCGCTTGAAAGAAACTCCTCCCTGAGATGAGAGGTATGTCTCTCGAACCA